CTCCCTTCAGACACTTATACACATTGATCAGATCCCCCCTCAGTCTTCTCTTCTCCAGACCTAGCTCTCTCAGCCTTTCCTCTTCCTTTACAATCAAAGAAACCACAAAGTACCATCAATAAGACTTGCTTGGGCTCTTACACATAACTGAGGCCTCAGTATTCTCAGCAGCGCTCTAAAACCAAATAGAAGATAAGTCACCACTTTAATACAGCCAGAAAATGCAGGCAGGAGGGACGGTAACAGCAAAGCCTCTTTGTTCAGCAGGCCTGGGGCAGTGCGGTGTTCTCCCAAATTTTGATCTAGGCCAGAGTATGCTTCTGCCTATTTGCAGTGCCGAAGGTGTCCTTTGGTGTGTGTCTGTGCACGCCTGGCTGCCTTCCCCAGGGGGATTTGCAGATTTTATTTTGCCTTTTTGTGGAAGTGTCTTGTTCAAAACTACAGTGAAAAATATTTAGTGGTGGTAGTTGTTTTTTTAAGATACGGGTCATATTCAGCCTTCTGCAGAAAATCACTTGTTACTGATTTTAGACTATCCCAAAATCAAGAAAAGGACCGGATGCAAAAGGTCCTACAGAACAGGGGCTAACAGGGGGTTGGAGTGGGACAAGGGTGTGTGGTGTCTCACTAATTAATCCCATTACTCCAAGAACAGTTGGGAGCCAAACTGAACCCCTCTGCACACTAGTATGGGGCTTCTGAGGAAGGCTTGTAACAGCACCTTGAAAGCTATTTGGGCATAGGGACAAAGCATCTTTTCATTTCTGCCCAGGACCAAACTACTGTGTTTTTGAAGTACTGGGGTGTAAAGGAAAAGACAGAGGGGTTAGACAGCAGTGTGAGCCAGCCGCACTTACCTTATAGGAGCCCTGTGAAAGGTGACTTTTAGTTGTTGCTTTTTGCCTGTTTTGGACTAATAGAGCTGCTTAAACGTCTGTCACTGGGGGGAAAAGGGGGCAGGGGGGAATACTTTCAATGCAGAGCAGTGACATGTTGAAGTTCGTAAGTGCTCCTGCTGCGTTCCATCTGCCGGAGTGACATTTGGGGTTACCAAGCCTTTGGATGGCACAAAAATCACTGTTTCACTGTCACTGTGTTGCAGAAACTTCATATCGTGTCCTGATACAACAAACCTATTCAAGCACTCTGTGCTACGCTTTCTTTCAAAGTAGCCTGCAATAAACAGGCCAGTTGAAGACAGACATACTGAATGTCAGTTTGTGATTCACTGTCACATGAGGGTGTGTATGTCAGTATAGAAAATTGTCCAAGTAGCTCTTGAATACTTTGTTCAATTTTTTAGATTTCATAACAGCACTCATAGTCACGTGACCTGCTTCTCAACTCCAGCTTCATCAGGGATAAGAACATGCAAAAGATTCAAGTAAATAATTTGAGTTTCCTTGTCTGCAAAATGGGGAAAATAGAGAGAGGCCTCGTGAAATTTAGTTTGAAGAGTGCTTGGAGGTGGAAAGCAGAGTAAGTGCTGTATATTTATTGTGACACGCTTGTGTAAACTCTTAATTACTGGAATAATGGAGTTATACAATGAACCAATAACTTCAATTTGGGGTGAATTAGTTTCGTAGAATTTAACTAGTCTATTATGCATGTCTCTGGACCAAGAACGTGCTGCTTTTAGTTTGAACAGTCATTTTGTTCATCCTATGTACCAGCAATGGTACATTGCTCAATAGCGTGATATTAATTGCCCATGAATAAGAAGATTTTATTTTAAATACTTACTCTCTATATCTATTTATCTGCTTGTAGAGAAGTTTAATAAAAGTAATTTTATTCTTTAATCAACTTTTCTTTAAAGTTTGCAGGTATGTTGTAATGGCAGGTAAGACAAATAGCTGCCAATTAGGATAGAACTAATATTTGACAATATGGCATTGTTGTGCAGTTTGTTTTGTGTACTGTTTGTGTTTTTACTCAGAGTAAGCAAAGCTGGATATAAAACTCACGTGTGACCAGGGGAATAGGTTAATGGGATGTCCCCCATTGTATCTTTTCTAATCTCCCCCAAATCCCCTTATCTGCTAGCTAATCAAATAGAGATAAAGAATTAATGTTTTTTACCTTTTTTTGAAAAGGAGTTAAATATGTATTTCACAGTTGGGATTTGGGAGCTTCTTTGTACCTGTTTTAATGTTGGTGCTTTTGAAAGTGAAATGAAATTCCCAGTTTCCTTCATGTTTGCAAAATTCCCTGGAATTTCTTACCTTGAGCAGCACAGGAGCCAAGGTTGCTCTCCATGTGCTGTTGCAGGTTATGGCAGTGCCTGAGAAGTAGGAAAACATGGGTATGTAGGGGCCGGCCAGAGCGCTGATTTGTGGCTTGTTCTCTTCCTCTTGCCTGTCATGAATGTCATTGACTGAGGAGAGCAGTGCTCCCATAGCTCAAGTGTCATCCATCCCACACATACCATGTTAACAGTGTTTGCAACAGTTTGTTATGTATGTTTCCCAAAAAGGGAGACTGGGTAGGTTGTTTTCATTTCCTTCCCCCAACCCCATTCTCTACTTCGGTTTGTGTGACCCTTTATCCTCTCTCCACTTGTGATGGTTGGTAGCTAGTATTTACATGACTGCTTATCTGAATTGATTTTTTTTTTTAAATTTTGCAGCCATTTCTGCTACATTTCAGTAGCCTACTGCGATGCTCATCGGAAAATTGAAAACTTTATTGCTGATCCCATCTGAATGTAAAATCTGTCATGTGCTTCCTATAACTTGCATCGTCTGCGTGAACTCTGTGTGAGCCTTTAAGTTCCTGTCTTGTTCAGATATGATAGTGGTATACGGTGAGAGTAATAATGTGTCTGCAGCTGTCAACAAAGTAATTGCTGTATGGGTGTGAAGCTGTGCTAGTAGGACTATACTGTTACTCTGATCTGACCCAGCGCCATGCTGCTGTGCAGGTATATTGGCTTGCTCGCATGCAGCTCAGGTGTCTGTGCTCTGCCTTGGCTCAGGATCCCATGTGAGATTGCCTGGAAAGCTCCTGGCAGTGTGGGATGGCAGCTGTCCGTCTTCCAGCTCACGATGCTGTCCGCTCCTAAAGGCGGCATATGGTATAGTAAAGGTTAGTGGTGCAGTTTTGGGGTTGAGTCGAGCTTATTTGGTTCTTTAGGATGAAAAAACAGATCATTTCATCTCCCTTCCTCCCCATTTCTTATGTATGGACTTTGGAGAGGGCATGCGGCAAGGAACTCAGTTTATTTTAGGGGGTACTTTTTTTCCCCTCCTCTGTCTGTGTAGAGGGGTGACCAGGACTTAGAAAACTGAAGCTATATTTTTTTTTTTTCTGGATTGTGAGTAGTAGTGCATCAGACTGAACGAAGACTAACAAAATTTCACTGGCAGGTGGACAAAGCAGACTGCTGGGAAAGCAGTTTGTCTGAAAAAAGGGAAACTGAGAAGAAAATTTGTCTTCGCTGCAGAGGCTTCTTAGGAGAGCGAAGGTGTTCTGCTGTGGATCTCCTTGGTCTAGAAGCCCAAGTGAGAGGCAATCTTTGAATTCTTGGAGATGAACTTCAAAATGGAAATGTGACCTGTGTATTGGAGCTCTCTTAGTCTGGCTATAAAATATACTCAATCGAGTCATTTACTCAATTACTGTTACTTTTTGTCTTAATTGCCAGTGTTGATCATCTGGGTGAATGGGGTTTGTATGTGCCTTTAAGAAGAGGGAGGTTACTTGCTAAGAGTATTAAGGATGGGGAATTGCAACCTCCTGTGGTAGCAGTGTAAAAATAAAAACCTAAAGCAAAAACAACAAACACAAATCTGGGTCGTAAATGCTAAAAGTGGGTTCCGTTTAGATTTCAAATCCGTATGTATGGAACTTGCATCTGTTCATCTCAAGAAGAAACATGCACCAAATTTTTAAAATAACAGGAGGATAATAGTTGTTTTTACTGTTTTTGGCAAAAACCCCTTTGTTCAACATCTGTAATAGAAAGGAAATAATTAGCGGCCCTATTCCAGAGAGCTGTCTCCTCAGTGAAAAATTGTAAACAAATATTCATAACAATGGATTGTTTTGCAATTCCTTGTAACCCTTGGTACTTGTCCTTCAAAGCAGTCAGGCAGAGGCATACTTGTGCATAGCCTTGGACGTGAGGTTTACGAGTTCGGTCCTGGGTGGAAGGGGCTGTAGAGAGATGTGGTTTGGAACAGTGGTTGAAGATGACTTCAGCTGCAGTGAATTAAAAGCTGCCTGTTGTGTTCTGATTCATATCATCCAAATTGACAGGGCTGATTCAAATCCTGCTTTCTCCTGTTGACATAAACGTATGTAGCAGCGGGATCTTTGAGTGTTCACACGTGAATAGAAAAAAATCATACTTGCAGTAACTTCTCTTTTCAGTTATGCCTTTCACTTTTTTTAAATCTACCTTTTCACAGTTCAGAATTTGCTCTGATTAATGTCTTTGTATTCTGCCTTTGAGCGCAATATCTAACTTGTGCTATTTTAAAATGAAATTAAAATGTTTCAAATGAATTTAATGTGAATTCTGTGCCAGATAAGCTAGTATTTTCAGGACAATTTCTTAATGTAGTCTTTTTCAGTCACTGCTCTGGTATCCTCCTATCATGTTTCCTTCATTCTAAGAACTTTAAATACACATTTTACAATGAAAAAGATTATTAGAAATGAGCATCATGTAATATAAATGGAGAACTAAGTAGCAACGAGAGAAATGGACTAATCTGTCATTTAACCTTGATACTGCTTTATTTCCAAAGAGCGATGCAATCAGTAGTGACAAAACTTTCAGAGTAGCTAAGGCATTAGACAAAACAATTTACGATATTCACTCCTCCTCCTCCTCTTCCTCCTCCTCCTCCTCTCTCCAGCAGTTTGTAGGTTACGTAAGCTGATTTCTTTGTTTTTCCTCTTTAATAGTGAACAGACTTTACTCCTCTCTCCAAGCTGATTGGTTTGCGTGCTTACATTTTTCCTCTCTAAACAGGCTAGCCTTCAAAGAGGAGGAGATATTATAATTGAAAGACCCAGCATGTAAACTCTCGGCATATATTGCACATCTGGTGAGGAGTCGTTTCTGGCAGTTTATAGATCTTGTAAATAGGATATATGCGAGTCTGTCATGGGGTTATTACCGTTGTGAAATCGATTCCTCGTGCGGTGGGATATATTTAAAAATGTCTTCTGGACCAGGTAAGATCGAATGGGATGCTTCTGTTAAATCTTAATCTCTTTAAGACTTGGGGGTATTTGTGTCCAGAGATGCACAGAGTTAAACTTCATAGTGCAGTGCCTTGAAGCAAATAAACATATGAAAAATTCAGCTGCTTCCTGATGTCATAGAGTAGGAATGTTGTGGTGTCTCTTCGCTCCTGTTCTAAGTAAATTAGCTTGCAGTTTCTTGAACTGCTTGCCTAATAAATCTACCACACAAAGAACTGTGCTAGTTTTGGCTCGGTTTGCTGCTGCTTTCACCAGCTCAAGAGTTTCTAAAGCAAATCAATTTTGTGATATTTTTAAGTGTTTTCTATTTCTGGCTTATTTGCCATGTTCATAGAGCTCGGTTTATAGCTGCAGGGTTTCTGTATTACAGTTCTATAAATCAGCCCTGGCTCTGAGAACTGTATCTCTTACTGTTTTAGGAAATAGATGTATATTACTGACTTCTGCTGAGCTTTTCTTTCATAGTCTTGTAATAATCCATTTAGCTTGAGCTTATACTACCTTTAAGGTACAGAACTGTCTTTCACAATAAAGGAGTGTCTTCTTACTTTTCTTCTATTCGTTGAAAGGTTTGTATTTTTGGCATTGCAAGTGTGTTTCTAACTTAATTTTTAGAAATACTGCTGAAAATACTACTTTACTGATGAGTGACTGTGTTTTTCAGTTTTGAGAGAAGCTCAACTTAAAGTAAGTTAAATTAAAAGGCTTACCTGGCCCTAACAGCTTAATATAAGAAAATAAATATTTTGAATTACATTTTTTCCATAGGGCTGGAGAAAGGTTTGGGTTCAGAAGGCTTGTCTCTTCTTGGGAAGCCCACTGAGACTAAATAGAGTAAAGGGACTTATTGTATGAGTGAGTTTGAGAAATCTGCCAGAGAATCTTGGAGCAGATGCATGCAAGTGTGTGTACCCAGTTCTTCTGTTTTTAGTATTTGTGGGCATCTACTTTCTCCTGAGTAGAAAGAATACTTGTTTTGAAATCGTTCCGTTGTCTTCCTATCCATTTTATGAGCTAGTTTGAAGTTGCTCTTCTTCTAGATTTTGTTAATCAGCCTGTAGAATGGGATGCTCGCCCTTTTTCCAACTCTTTACGTATCGTTTTTCTGTATCCTGAGAAAATCTACATATGGATGTAGGAAACTTTCCTCCATCTATCTTGCTCTTTGAAGCTGTTTTCTAGGATCTATAATGCATCTCTTCTTCCTACAAATGTATAAAGCCCTCATGGATTTTCAGGAAGCTCAGTGTGATGCTGTAACTACTATTTCCACATTACAGCTCATCTTCCCTCTTGCCCTTTGGCTTCCTTTTGGTTATTTCTGTTCACAGAGGCCTGCAGTGCATACTTGCAGAACAGTGGCAGTCTGAACCTAACATGTATTGTGCAGCTGTGAGCTCCGATTTTGAGAGATCAAACATGAAATACAAATGTATTTGTAGGTGCCATAAGGTGGTATAGGTTATACTATTAAGGTGTTTTTCAGGCAGTCAGTTTGCTCAGGCTCCAGTTAGAAGCTGTATGAATGCAGTTAGTGCAATAGTGGACTATCTAGCAAACGGCTGGTTAAAAGGGAAAAAAAACCCTGAGCTTCTGTCTACCTGCAGAGTAGCATGTAGATGTCTCACTGTGACCTTTTCACAGTGGTATCAGGAGACCCTAGTATAGAGACAGTATGCATAGAAAAGATGGCAACGAGTAGTTCCGGTTTGTGCAGGTTTGAAATTGAGTGGGCAGATATCCCTTGACACTCCTAAATAGGAGCTGAAAGAAACTCCGAGTTACTGCTTTCCCTATCACTTGTCGAAGTGCTGGCTGCTTATAGTCAGAAATAGGAAGAATGCCCTTCAGTATTGTCGCCTGGAATTGTGCATCTGAAGGAACAGATATAGGGTACCTATACAAAGATATAAATTCACATGGCAGTTTATTCGTTGTTCAGCCATGCAATTGAGACTATGTCCAGGTACCTGAGCAAAGCAGTTTTTTGAGTATCAAAGGCTCATAACAAATAAGAAAAACATTTGAAGCATGTACTTTTTCTGCAGCTTTACTCATTTTTGAAAACAGGAACTTTACAGATTTTTTTTTTGATTCCCGATAAAAAGCATCCCTGAGAAACTGATTTCAAGCAATGCAGTTTTAAAAGTGTCAATGATACCGTGGCCCAGAAGTCAGCAGAGAGCTAGTTGCTCTCATTCGTACTGTCAGTACGCTTGGCTGTATGACTGCAGCACTCAAGAGTCTTCCATTAGAGTTTAGTCTTTTCAGTGATAGGTGCTATACTGACAGAGGTAGACAGTCTAATAGCTTAGGCCAGTGCTTGTAGACGTAGAGAAGTTGTTGAGTCTTTAAGCAAAATTCAAAGCACTTACGGCATGCTCGTTTTTCACTTCTCCCCTCCTGGTTTATGTTTGTTGTAAAAGAAAGGGTTAAATCCCTTAATATTATGGGCTGGGAGATTTAGTGCCTGTGTGTGCCTTACAGTTTGACGGGCGATACTTGACCTTGAGAAGGACAGGAAGGGTAGGTAGTGAGGAAATATAATCTTTGCCTTAGATTGTCATAAAATATTCAACATATTATAGCTGCTCCTGCTTGCTTGCAAAGAAGCTCTTACAATCAGGACCTGCTCACTTAAAAAAACAAACCCAAAACCCAAACCAAAAACCAAAGAAAATACGCCTCAGTTAGGTTGTACCAGGTGGAGAGGGATCAGAGTACTCCCAAACCTTGCCTCAAACAAATGGTAGGGTTTGTTTTGTTTGTTTTGTTTTGTTTTAGAATAATTTCACAGCTTTTATTTGCTCTCTGTGTTGGAAGACTTTTCTCCCCATTATGAAAGCTGTTAGCTTTTTTATGAATGTTTTGAAATACTTTCTTCTATTGCCAGAAACAGAGGCTTTAAGAACAGCAGTAAATATTGCACAGGAATCAGCAACGTTGTACTGGGCTGTAGTTCCATGAAGAGCTCAAATGATCTAATGGATAACTGCTGCCAGAAGGCTGCCCGGGCCCTCCCTTGGACTATCCCAGACTTTTGATCTCTTCCGCAAGCCGATGCAGCTCACTCACACAGCAGAAAAATACTGTGATAAAAATGGTTTTCTGCTGTGTGCGAGGGTAGCATTGGCCTAGAGACAAATCCAGCAAGCTTTAGAGCTGCTAAGAAGTGAGTGATGGGAACTAAAGGGGTGCTGAGGGGAGGAGGGAATGAAGCTTCCTCTTGGTGGAGGGCTGTCTCACTGTCTTGTGTCACTGCATTTTGATTTTGAGTGGACTTTTTTCTCTGCCAGAGAGCCTTAAACATTTTCATTTTCAAAGTGGAAGGACAGTGTTTGCAAAATGAAAGGTTGAAAATGTTGAAAGTCTCCTTCAGATATTGGACAAGAGTTGAGCTATTATAAAATTATTTTTCTTCATGAAATATTAGTGATGTTAATGTATTTTTACATTGTGACCTTTTAAAAGAATTTCCTATCCATTTAGACGCTCAAAGATAGGGAAGCTTTTGAAACGTTCACATGACTGTTCAGCTTCTTGGAACAGTGTGGCAAATATCCATTCAAGTCTAACATCAAGAATTATTTCAGTTCCCCAAATTAGGAGGTTGTATGAAATGACATTTTAAATTCATCATGCAGATTTTTTCTTTTTTTTTTTTTAAGAGTATATTTTAAATAGTTTTTGGGAAAAGAGAGAAGAAGACTTTATAAAACTGTTCCGAATTTGTGTATCTCAGTCAGTTCATAGCATGAAATGTAAAGATCTGTCAATTTGTATAGTCTTCAAGGGTTGAATGTACTGATGTGCAACTCTGTAATTCTGAAGTGAATTCTGTAAATAGCACAAAGAGTAATCTGTGGCAATTTAGGGCTAGGGTATTTTTCCTCCTTTTGACTCCAGGGCAACGTGCATTTGACTTACTGTCATAAGGCTGGTTATAAGCTGATGAGCAGCATGAAATAGTGGTCTCTCTCTTGTTTTTTATAAGCAAGAGAGCCCATAAAAACTGGCGTAGTAACAGTAGGTTTTGAAGCGACTGGATAAGGATGGTCCTTCTTGAGTAATTTCACAGGAAGGCCCGTAATGTACTTAAACCAGGCTTTTTGTGGCCATTCTTTTTTTTTTTTTTTTTTTTTTTTCCCTCAACCAGGTCAAAAGCAGGAAGCACTTGAATTCTTGTGAAGGGTCCAGCTTTGGGTTCTTTATACTTCTGTTTTGGTGCAGTAAGCATTCCCAAGGAGCCACTTGTTTTCCTGTGTTTTGTAGATGATGGTGGTTAATTACTTGGCAGAGGGAACGAAGTGCTCGGGGAGCCTGACAACAGGCTGCGCGCCCCCAACTTGGGGAGGAAAAGCGTTGGGAACTGTGCAGCTGGGGTGCTGCACAGCTGCACTGCTCGTACTTATTTAAGGGCCTAGTAACCATATGCTTCTCTCCACCCTCTCTTTGTTCTTTATCAAATACTTCTAAATTTACTTTTAATCTTTTAAATAGCACAAGCAGTGCATATCCTGTTGTGATGTTGCGCAGCGAAGGCCCTGCGGCCTATTTTTTAATTAGGGCATATTATTTTAAATCTTGGTTCATGTTTTTTAAAGAAGAGGGATTTTTTCCAACTGTTTGCACCAACCCTTCCTGCTAAGGGTTATGTGATAAAATTTACGTGATCTAGTGGCTACTTGCTTCTGAAAAGGCAGTTGTGCTCTCCCTCCTGCCCATACATTTGCACCTTTGTCTGAGCTCTGGTATATCTGACCTACAGTAAAACGAAAGAATGAGTGAAATTGGGAGAGAGCTGCTTTGTCGCTTTTTTTTTTTTTTGGTAGGGTTATGTTTCTGGTGGCTGAACTTCCCCAGCCTGGATAAGTGCTGGCACCAGTGCACAAAAAGAGGTGGGAGCAGGCAGCCGGGAAGATGGAGGGGAGCAGGTGAACTGCCTGTGCCTCTGCCCGTGCCGTGCCGGC